AGTGTCAAAATCGATCATAGACTGAGAGTAGGAACGGTCCATGTTAGTGAGGGTTCAGAAATTGCCAAAAAGGCGCTAATACCGTTTCCCCAGGAAGTCACCGTTTCCAGTGGTCCATGTTAAAGTGCACTTGAAATTGAGTTACGGTCTATGTTGTTTTTCCCCGGAGTAATTAGTATTGCCTTTTGAGTTTTGTCCCTGTCTGCCTTGACCTCTGTGTTGAATGATGACGCTAGCTTAAATAGGTTTCAATGCTTGAAACCGTTGACCTTGTAATATGGTTTTGTGTATGCTTGCTGCACTGTGGTTTTACGCAGGTCCTTTGCCCATATTATAGCCTGCTTGCGTAAAGCATGTCATGGCTCCGGCTCCGGCTGCTCCGCCTTCTTGCTGCAAGACCACAGGGGAGTTTCGTCTGGATGCTGGCGCTTGGTTTTTCATTTGTTTACCCCGACAGTCTTTTGTCATGTGTCGGGCCTTTTTGGACCACAGGGCTGCTACCGCCATGTTTGGTCTATCTCGAGCTGAACCTAGGCCATTAGATCAAGAGGAAGAAGACAGCGAATAATCCAAATGATCGCAAAAGTTGAGCTATACCAAGTAGTGGTCCAAACATGTTCTGTTTCTGCCCTGACTTACACAAGTGTAGCACAGACCACGCAGGTAAGCAGAGGGCGCAACACCTGCAACACCCCGAGCTGAAGTTTTATTCGTTGCAGCTGCAGTGGTTGTGTCTACGCCGCTGCTACATGCTTCTGCAGCATGCCCATTTTGCTCTGCTGAATTTCACAGCCACAGCTGTGGAGCTCATCTTTGAAACACTCCTAAGCCCGCCGAACAGCCTGAAGGAGAAAGAAATAGGCACCTTTGGCGTGTTCCCATTTTGTTGCAATCGATGAATGCATTGCAAGTGAAAACATGCATTGCAATCATTGCCAGCGAACCCTGCATTGAATCCATACATTTCTGATGAGACAATTGGCTCAAACATTGAGCCTAGCTTCGTTTACGTACTGGATTCACCGCCAGGCAAAGCAAGCTTGGCTGTTTGAATGCAATCCTTCAACGATTGGCCAACCTTTCACCCGGTTGCGCTTTTGAGTTGTGCTTTTGCAGCCACAAGCCTCAAAGTGGTATTGAGTAAGTTCCAGCCAGTAGAATGGAGCCAGGCAAGCAACCAGCATCTGGTGACAACATTCCTGTTTGGGGTTGATGCCGGCGTCCGCTTCCACGCAGGTCAGAGTGTGACAGAGTTGGCAAAGGCGACGTCAACGAGTACCTTGCTGTCGCGTGACTTGTCTTGACATGGCAGGAGCCCACGCAAATCCATCAATATGTTGACTTGGAGCCACAGAACACTGAGCTTGTTCTTAGGTGCCATTGCTCGAACAAAGGGGCGTTGCTGGCTTGCAAGCAGAGACGCAGACAGAAATGATGGGTGTGAACGGAGTGGCTTTTCTGAATAAATAGTTAATCTACATGTTACACGTCAACCTGCTCGTGTGCAGTTCCTTGGGGTTGGGTGCACGTTGGTGCATTCTTAGAGCCGACAGCGTCAGACCACGCATGTTTGCGCCTCCGACAGTTGCGTTGTTTGGTCGAGTCCGGCGCTTGCAATGAAACAGTTTGTCTGTGTATTTTTGGTTGTGTTTATTTTTTTCGGCTCATGCTTCGTTGGCAATTTTGGCGTTTGGTTTCGTTTCTGCATGTTTCTGCGGATTTCTGTGGCTTCTTAGCTTTTGGTAGGTGGCCAGCCAGCTCACAAGTGAATCGAGCACTTGTGCGCTGTGCTGCAGCCGAACAGCTTCCAAGTCGAAGTTTCGCGGCGTGTAGTGGCCAGTTTGTTCAAGGAAAGGAAGGACATGTAGCGATGCCTTCAATATACACCAACAAGTTCTCGCCTTTTTGGGGAGTGCTGCAGCCTCCCGCTCAACCCAGCCCTTTTGTTGCTTTTCAAGCCGACAAAAAAGAGGCCGACTCAAAGGCCAAGGAACAGTTTCAACTTACCCGGCTTAAATTTCTGCGGAGAACTATTTTTCATTCCCCAAACAGTGTGGACACACGAGGGGTTCTTACAGTAATGGTCAAGCACCGGTGTCTAATCGAGGCTTTGCGCGGTTGGTCCGGCTATTTCGTTGCTCTTTACAGTACATTCATGCCTCTCGAAATCCTCGAAGTGCATTTCGACTGCGCAGGCTCGCAAAGTCTGCTTGGCCGCGGTGGATGCTTGTCGCGAGTGACTCCGCTCTCGTTGTGGCGCCGTGCGCATTTTCGAAATCTCGTGCTTTGGTGGTCTAAAGTCGACTTTTCGTGACAGGTGCAAGGGACCGGAGCGGCTTTACTTCGATGTGTAGATTTCGTCGCAGGCGCAGCGCTTTGGACATGGTGGTGATCTAGAAGGAGCTCTGAATTCGTGACAGGTGCAGTGAATCGTGACTTTTTAACACGTGGCTTGTTTTCAGAAATCGTGGCTGGTGCAGTACTTTGTGGACGTTGAAGTGCAGATTTCGTGGCAGGCGCAGCGCTTTGCGAACCTCGAAGGGCAGATTTCGTGGCAAGCGCAGTGCTTTGTGAACCTCGAAGCGCAGATTTCAGGGAAGGCACAGCAGAGCACAGCACTTTGTGAGCCTCGAAGTGCAGATTTCGTGACAGGCGCAGCACTTTGTGACCCTCAAAGTGCAGAGTTCGTGGCCGGCGCAGCACTTTGTGAACCTTGAAGTGCAGATTTCTTTGCAGGCACAGCGCTTTGTGAGCCTCGAAGCGCAGAATTCGTGGCAGGCATAGCATTTTGTGCGCAGATTTCTTGCCAGGCGCAGCACTGTGTGCAGATTTTGCGGCAGGCGCAGCAGCACTTTGCGAACCTCGAAGTGCAGATTGCGCGGCAGGCGCAGCACTTTGTGAACCTCGAAGCCCAGTTTTTGCGGCAGGCACAGCACTTTGTGAACCTTGAAGTGCAGATTTCGTGAGGCGCTTTGTGAACCTCCGAGTGCAGATTTTGTGGCAGACGCAGCACTTTGTGATGCTGCTACACCTCTATAGACCGTTCGCAACCGTTCGCGGTAGGGCGCTCAGGCCTCCACATTGGGGGTTGGAGGGTTTCGCATGGAAACGCGACGTGTCAGATTCGTGCGAAATAGCAAGGAAACGTGTGGAAACGTAAGATGTTGAAGTGTTGAGGATGATTTCACTGCGCAGGCGCAGCGTTTTGTGAGATCCGCAGTTTTCCGTAGTCACATTGGGATTGGCGTTTGGAGGGTCGTGTTTTTGGGGTGTTGGATGTGGCTGTGACGTTGGGGTTTGAGCCGTTTTCGTGACAAGTCTCAGCTGAAACGCGAAATCATTCCATACGTTGGGGGGTGCAATTTTTGTTGAAGCTCACACGATATGATATTGTCACTTGTCGTGGCAGGCGCAGTACTCTGTGCGGGCTTTGAGGTGTGGAAATGCAATTTTCGTAGTAGGCACAGGGAATCGTGAGGTTGCGCGGTGTGGCGGAGTGGCAGGCGCAGTGCTTTGTGCGTGTTAGACGTGTGGACGTGCATTTTCGTGGCGTGCGCAGGGAATCGTGAGGTTGCGAGTTGCGGTGTGACAGTGGGATTGGCATGTGAGCGGGTGTTGTTTGGTTTTGGAGACTTTGACGTGTGAGTTTTGGAGGAAGTCTCATAATCGTACGAAACGCTCGTTTTGGAGAGTTGACACGTGACTTTTGCAGAAAGTCTTGTACGGAATGCTTGTTTTGTAGACTTGAAGTGTGAGTTTTTGAGGAAGTCTCGCGCGAAACGCTCGTTTCGGAGACTTGACGAGTGAATTTTGGAAGAAGTCTCGTCCTAAAAGGGTGACCCAAGACTGTCTTACAAGAGTGCCCTGCAAGAGTGTCCCACAAGAGTGTCCCGCAAGTGCCTTCAGACAAGGGTGTCCCACAAGCCTTCCCTACAAGAGTGTTCGGTGTCCGACAAGTCAATCCTACAAGAGCTACAAGAGTGTCCCGCAAGAGTGTTCCACAAGAGTGTCCAACAAGAGTGTCCTACAAGAGTTTCCTAGAAGGGTGCCCCGGAAGAGTGTCCTACAAGAGTGTTGGTGCCCTGCAAGACAGCCCTACAAGAGTTCCTAAAGAGTGCCCGACCCCGCAAGAGTGTCCCACAAGACTGTCCAACAAGAGTGTCCTACAAGAGTGTCCCACACATGTGACATACAAGAGTGTCACGCATGAGTGTCCCGCGAGAGTGTCCTACAAGAGAGCGTCCGACAAGAGTGTCCTACAGGAGTGCCCCGCAAGAATGTCCTACAAGAGAGCCTCACGAGATTGTCCCACAAGAGTTTCCTACAAGGGTGTTCCACAAGAGAGTCCTACAAGAGTTTCCGAGAAGGGTGTCCCGCAAGAGTGTCCTACAAGAGTGCTCGGTGTCCCGCAAGACAGCCCTACAAGAGTTACAAGATTGCCCGCAAGAGTGTTCCACAAGAATCCCATACCAGAGTGTCCTAAAAGAGTCACCCACAAGAGTGTCGTACAAGAGTGTTCTGCAAGAGTGTCCCACGAGTGTCCCGCAAGAGTGCTCGACTCGACAAGAGTGCCCTACAAGAGTGTCCCACAAGAGTGTTCCACGAGAGTGTCGGACATGTCATACACACAAGACTGTTCCATAAGAGTGTCCGACAACAGTTTCCTACAAGAGTGTCCCACAAAAGTGTCCTACGAGGGTGTCCCGCAAGAGTGTCCTGCCAGGATGTCCCACAAGAATGCGTCCTACAACAAGAGTACCCCACAAGAGTGACCTACAAGCCCCGACAAGCCCCGCAAGAGTGTCCTACAAGAGTGCCCCACAAGAGTGTTCCACAAGAGTGTCCGACAAGAGTGTCCTACAAGAGTGTCCTACAAGGGTGTCCCACAAGAGTGTCCTACAAGAGTGTTCCGTGTCCCACAAGACAGTCCTACAAGAGCTACAAGAGTGTCCTGCAAGAG